TTAACGAGTCAAGAAGAATTCGCCGTCGTCTTCTGGTGGAACCGATTTTCGTATCTCTTCGCCCAACACTTCCACTCGAAATGGAAGTAAGCTCAACAATCATGAAACAAGAGATTTCTCGAAACCAAACTTTTCTTCGTAGAAAAGCTCAGCAAGTTTTCACCGGAATCGAAGACGATTGCCTGGGTGGTAACGTCAGCAAAAATGTACCATTAAAGTCAACCGACAGCTGGCCAAGAGGAAGAATCCGCTCCCGTCTTTTCATATGATATACCTCCTAATCTCTTCGTCACACTTCTTCATTCCAAAGTGAAGTAAGCACGACAAGTATAAATCAAAATATTCCTCCAAACCCAAATTGACTTAGCAGAAACTGACTCACTGGCTTGGAAGGAGGAAGAATGTCATGTATCCTTAGACATCGTAGTGCCTCGAGAAAATGGCTATCATGCCAAGAGCTTAGTCGCCCTAGGTCGCTTAATGTCCTTAAATCGTCTAGGATGACAAAACTTTTGGCTACTCATATGCAAATTAAAAAGCCACTGGGCCTTGAATTTTTCATGCAAAGATTACGGTATATGAGATGTATTCACTCTATTTAGTTAAAGGTATTGAGGGACTGGTAGTTGAATTTTCCTAAAATGATATGAGTATAGCTGGCGTTTCCATTGAATTTCACAAAAGATGTTCTCATCCAGAATGGATTGCAGTTTCGACCTCGCCTAGATCTCATCAACACCTCCCGTGGGAGTCGAACGATGACAGTGCAACGTACAATCTCGACACGCTAACCCCTCCGCTACATTTGCACGAGCGCTCTTGGGTCACCGGGCAAATGTGAATTTTAAGGAAGACTAGGCCCTTTGCCATATCACTCTCTGGTGGGATTGTCGATTAGGCACATTTGTATTTAGATCGTAGATATGAAGACCAAGATGTTTGGTCGCAGTCTCCTTTAGCTCCAAAATGTTGTTGCTTTAACATTGTTTTCGCAACTGATTTGGAGCGTCAGGGAGATCTTGTGGACAGTACATCTTGCCGGAAATCACGAATACTCTAGCCGAGGACACAGGATTAGATACGTTCCACAAGGTTTCCCTGACGCCCCGACCAAGTTGCGAAAACCAGGTCGAACCAACAACATGTTTGTATTTGCTATGACAATCGACTAGATATGTTTCGTTTTCAGTAGGGTTTCGAGACTACTACATCGCGTACAACTTATTTACTGGTAGTCTCGAAACCCACCTGAAAACGAAATATTCCGGTCCCTCTAACTTTCGATGTGCGTCAAGAGGCAGCAGCCGAAAGATACTTCGTCAATCTACAATACACCGAACGGCCAATACGTATATACTTGCTGTAAGCAACCGTCAAGCCTTTAGTGTTGAACATATGCTCTACATCTAATGGTCAAAGTTTGACGACAATGCTCGAAGGATCTATGATTCACATTTGTTTTGCTACAACCTACTCTCGAGAAATGTCGTGACCGCGCAGAGATGCCATACTAGATGCAGTTCCAAGAAATTATTCTCTCCGGGCCGAACTGGGTCGCCCCTATTTACACTCTAACAATGTTGTCATGAGTAAATGAAGCGAAACGGCACTTGGCAAAAGTGTCGGTAAAAAGACATGCAGACATAAGACTGTTTCTCCTCCTTTTGACTAGCTTACAAATGAGCCTACCTGCGAATTCAATCCATTCCTTGTAGCCCTGATAGTCCTGTTGTTCTCTTTTCTCTTGTCGTTGTTTCTGAAACAGCTCTTTTCTGTCGATTTTCTCCTTTTCCTTGCTGAACTCGCTGTAGAGGTAAGAAAAAGCGAAAGTCATTTGGAAATTACCTGTACCAAAGTGAAAATGAGTTGGGATAGGCGTAATTGCAGAAGCTATGGGTGCCAATGCAATCTTTTCGACCAGTTGAAATGGGCTGTGAATGTTGAAATTAAACGATTAATGGAAGTGAACTAATGGAAGTGAGAGAGAAACGGAGCTAACCGTGTAAGTTGGCTCCACTTGCCCATTCTGGCTTGAATCCGCACCTACACTGCCCTTACGGACGATGGCAACTGGTAGAGGGGGCACAATACAAGCCTGACACTATGAACACATGTGCATATGCACTCGATTTTTTCCCCTTATTCTGTCAGCAATGGTTGCGCTTGCCTCGCGAACTACTCTTACTCGCACTTACCCGCTCAGTACACCGAGGACCAGATTCATGACAAAGAACGATCCGAGCAGAATAAGACTGACAAAGTAGATCCACGGCCACCACGAGCCCATTGCATCACAGATCTGAAAAGAGGCAAGAGGGCAGGAAGGCAGGAGGAAAGAGGGAGATGAAAAGGAATAAATGAAAAAAGAAGTTGTTTGACCTTGTTTTCGCAACTTGGTTACATTGGTAGAAAGACTTAGAGGAACGCACCTAGTCCGGAGTCCATTGTCTGCATGATCATTTCCGAAGTTGAACCGTGGACGTGGTACATTCCCAAACGTTTTGCCAGCATCGCAGTCGGCATCGTCAGTGAGTATCGCCATTCTTAGCCCCACACAACAACTCGTCAAAGAGACAAGGGAAGCCGATCCTTTGACCAATCGTGTGCTAAACAATTTTGGTATCTCCCCTTCTGCCCTGGGTTATTCGCGTTTCCGGTAGCATCCTATCATGCCTTCAGTATTGCAATTTTTACCGTGTTTATTTAGATATAGTGTGGTGTGCTCCTTTGATCGACATGACACTTTCACACTCCAACTATTGTTCTCACTACCCCCCTCATCTTTATGCAGGGAATGTCGATCAGAGTCTGCTTTATTATTATTATTATTATTATTAATAAATTAAGATTAAAATGAACCAACCCATAAGAGCAGTATAAAAACCGATCTTCACAGAATCGACAGTATTGTCAGCGCCATAATCCTCTAAGTTTCCGCAAAAAAGGTCCGGTGATGACATTCTCTCAACGGCACCATCATAGACTGTGGAGAAATGACATCCTCTTTGTGCACATGGATCTAAGACTCACCATTGAAGTATGCAGTGTTGAGCGATCGCCTGCATTTAGCAAGCGGTTTAGGATTAACCCGGCACCCTAATGGCTAACAGACATTGGGGCAGAGTTGGTGTGAGTCGACTTTCATTTCGAGTGAAAAGTTGGTTGGAAGTAATTCATGGAGTGGACTTCTTCGCACAATCCAACAGCCTTCACTCAGAAACAGTCCTCCTTTGGTTTGCGGTGATAGCAATGCATGAATTTCTTTCGAATCCGAAATGAACAATCAAGTCACATTGACTTACTAAAGACGTCTTCGAAACCCAGTTTTTCTTCATATACTGGGTCAGTGATTCTCAAATTGTGCGCCGCGAAATATTGTAAAGGCAAAATTTGGCAGCATGGAATTGACATAATTTGGAATTTCATTAAAATATGAGTATCCGCTTCTGAGTGATAAGGCTCAGCGGATTCTAATTCCATTTTCGACGCGAAGCTGGGCTTTCGGCGGTCGGTGTAATAAAAAGCAAGTATAGAACAAAAATCAACGTGGTAAAGGAAATGAGGCTGGCCGTGTCCAGTTTAAGTC